TACATATATGTGTGTGTGTGTGTGTGTGTGTGCGCGCGCTAAAGTATTCTTTGAAAGATCTCTTCCCTAAAGGAAATCTAAGTATAGAAAGTGCTACAGCAGAGGGGGCTGAGGCAACCTTCTCCACCTTTCCCTCCTGACAACAGACTTCAGCTGTGCCCTTTCCTTTTCACTGTCCCCTCTCACTGTTGGGGTCTGCTGACACTTAACTGGTCTACAATCACATCTGAGCCAGGAAATGCTGGACCCAAAATTCCTTGGGATGATACATGGAAATCTAGATTATTTCGGTGCTTAGTGCCTGGTTTCCTAAGGTACTTACCCAGTCCCAGTCCCAGGGCTGCCCCACAGGAAAGCAGCATGAGAGACTGTCCAGTTAGTTTGCTCCTGATGGAGGGTGGCCGAGTTGTGGGTAGTTAGGGAGTGATGTGGCCCCCTGGGCAGCTGCCACCTGTAGAGGATTAAGGAAGCCAATCCCTCATTTTATTCTATTTCCTCTTTTTTCTTTTAATGTATTTTTATTGATTTTAGAGAAGAAGGGAGAGGGAGAGAGAGATAGATACATCAATGATGAGAGAGAATCATTGATCGGCTGCCTCCTGCACGTCCCCCATTGGGGATCGAGCCTGCAATCCAGGCATGTGCCCTTGACCGGAACCAAACCTGGGACTCTTCAGTCCGCAGGCCGACGCTCTATCCACTGAGCAAAAACAGCTAGTGCTATTTTCTAAATTCTTTCCTTTGTAGTGGCCCGGAGCTGTGTCTGGGATAGAGTGTTTTTCTTGGAATGAAAGGTTTGCCTTGAGCATTGTCTGGATTGTACTGCCGTTGTTCTCCTACTGGCTGCTTTTGCTAAAGTGTACTCTTGTTTCATCAAGTGCCTTCAGGGGACTTCACCTTTGGAGGGCTCCTTCCGGCATCCTGCACTGTGAAACCTACACCAGCCTCACTAACTAGCAACTGTCAGCACATCGGCTGGTCTGTCCTTGGGGAAATCCTGCCCCCTCCTGAGGTCCCATTGCCAGGAAGGCAGGGAGGGGGCCAACCAACAGCACCACTCTGCACTTCCCTCTGGTGCCAGTAGGAAGGCATTTTCTTTGAGCTGAGGGATAATCAGGTCCACCAGCAGAGTCCAGCCGGCAAAGGAGCTGTGAGAGGCCCAGGGAAGCCGATAGCTTGGGTTTGGGTCTTGGGAAGCACAGAAGGGCTGGTGGGCCCAGCCCAGGAGCTCCCTATCGGCAGGACAGGGACTAGGAGGCTGGTGCTCCGCCCTGGGACTTCCCAGATTCTGTTCTCCTGCTCACCCCGAGGCCCCTTTCTGAGCCTCAGCAGGCCTCATCTGGGAGTTCTCAGCATGTTTAAATGTCCCTGTCAAGAATGAAGACTGGATCTGCGGGTGACTAAGACCTTTTCTAATGTTACATATCTACGAACAGCTTTGAAGGGAGAGCCACCATGCCCTGCCCAACTCGGAAAGGTTTCCCATTTCAAATGACTAAGTCATGACCCTTTTTCATCAAGACTTCAAAGAACCTGATCCAAGATAACACTCATCTATATATGTAGAAGTCTAAGCAAGTGACCAGCTGGTAGCTATGATGATGTGCACTGACCACCAGGGGGGCAGGCACTCAATCCTGGAGCTGCAGAGCCACAGCAACTTTGTAGAGTGCCCTCTTCCACTCTGGGCCCCTCAGGGGATATCAGACTGCTGGTTTCTGCAGGTTCCCCGCAGACCAGGCCAAGGGACCCTGCTCACTCCACAGATGCCCTTTGAGCCCTGGCACCAGCTGGGGAGGGATCGCTGAAGGTTGGCTCCAGGATGTGTCTGGCCTGTCTTGCCCAGTCCTGCTCCACCGGCTACCTTCTAACTAATTTACTTTCAATGTGCATGAGTCTGTGCATGGGGCCTCTAGCATTAAATAAAACAGCCTGACATTTTTTCCTTTTTTATTGTAAAGCTGGAAATGAAAACCAGCCACATGTCAGCTCTCTGGCAAACAAAGCATGGAGAAAGACAGCGACCAAGTGATTGTTGCAGGACAACCCTCCATCCCCTCCCCTTTTTTTTAATCTTTAGCTGAATTTCTGACATTAGAGATGGTTTTCCAAGTGCTCAGATTATTAGGTAACCAGAAACCAAAGCTCATCTTGATAATCTTTGCCATAAATTATCATCTGAGAAGGCAGCTGTGGCATGGTGAAATACACACTGGATTTGGGAGTCAGAAAGTCTGGGTTCTCAAGTCCTTGCTCTGCCCCTTCACAGCTATAGGCCTGGGTAAGACACTTAACTTCTTTGGAACTTCACTTTCCTCCTGTACAAATATGGGATTGTAAATCCCATATATCTCACAAAACTGTTATGAGTACATAAAAATGTATAGAATAGTACTTATTCGGTGCTTGATCTACAATATACTCTCAATCATGTGTGTTGGGTTATAATCTATTACATTTGTGGTATTTTCTGTAACAGTTCCCCCCATCCCCATACCAATTTAATAAAACAAATATAAAGGTAACATTTTAAAAATTGCTGTATTCAAAATAATAAACTTTAGGGTAAATAAGCTTTAAAACAAAAGTACATAAGCAAAAAAATAAATAATTTACACCAACCCACTAACCTTATTTTCAGAGTAAAGCCACTGTTATCTGGGCTCCAGATTGTGGTCAAACTTTGATAGTGCATTATTTTTTTAAAAAACAGTAACAAAAACATGAACACTAAGTAAAGTCTTTAACAAAACCAAAGTACTGGATTTAGCTTTTTAATTTTAAGTAACCAAACTTTGTAATTTTATACATAATCCAATGTAGTGCTAATATAATTAGCATTTCAGCTTGAAGAGCTGGTAATTAACAGGAATGGAAGCCTTAATGAACAGTCTTCAAACCATGAGACACAAATAAAAACAGACAAATATACAGTAGAACAAAAGCTGCAGACACTCTACTAACTGGGGGAAATATTTGAAGGCTTTACATTCTTTATTATCCATGATGGCTTTTGGAATTATGATTGTGTGACATATAGAACCTTTGATATTTTAGATATAGCCTTTATTTGTGTGTTTTTTTTCACAGTAAGTTAAAAATCCACCCTAAGTCTCGGTAAGACTTCACTGTCTTACATAAAGACTCTAGGAGTCTGCAATGTGATAAAAGAGTAATGTGAAAATTTACTGGATTGCCCTAATTTCATACTTCCTTGTACACAATGAATCAATCTGGAAATCTATTCCAAGGGTTATATGCACAAAAGTGTCAAGAATAAAATGTTCTCCACTCTTGCATAAAAACGTGTACAGTGTTGAGGAATGGAAAAGTTATCATTTTCCTGGGCCCCGGGCCTGGAGCTCTGCTGCCTGAAGATGAAAGGCTCCTCTGGCTTTATTGCTCTCGGGATTAGTCATCCAGCCCTGGTGTTTCTCCTTGTTGGATCCTGGATGCTATTCTGATGGCTTCTTCCAGCGATGGCTGTTCTCCAAGCTGAAACAGGAACATACACAAACCCAAAATCAAGATAATGCCAAAGGAATCTTATATGCCAGAAGTGGGATTTCTGGCACCTGGGCTTGTTAAACAACCTCCACTTGATCCTATCAGTAAGAGAAAATAAAAACTAAAACAAACCCAATTCTTACAGGGGAGAATAATACAGTTTCTTTATTTAGGATTTTGATAAACGTTTGCACATGCAAGGGACAAAAGACAGTCATTTTTTCCAAGGGAGATAATTTAGAGCGCTTCCTGAGCCTTTAGCTTCTATGCCCATAGCTAAATTAAAACCAATGGCTGGAATTTTCATCAGTGTGTTCTTTTTTAATCCTCAACTGAGGATATTTTTCCATTGATTTTTAGAGTTAAAGAGAGGGAAAGACAGAGAGAAATGTCGATGTGAGAGAAACGCATTGATTGGTTGCCTCCTGCATGAGCCCCAACCAGGGCCTGGGCCAGGGAGAAGCCTGCAACCTAGGTACATGCCCTAGATCAGAATCGAACCCAGTACCCTTTGGTCTGCAGGCTGATGCTCTATCCACTGAGCCAAACCAGCTAGGGCCTAATTAGACTTTTTTTCTGGCTTGATGCATATGGGATACATACTAGAAGCTTTATTTTTCTCACTAAAACTTCCCCTAGAATATGCAAAGTTAGGGAAGACAGCTGCCTCTGGACTCACCTGAACTGCAATCTGGGTACCATTGGATGTTGCCACTAAGGTCAGAGGTCTGGTTTCTGTGGTTACTAAGTGATGGCTGTGCTGCTGGTGCCCCATTTCTGACGATGCAGTGTGGAATGCTGCCAAGTCCTGAGCCACAATTGCAACCTTAACCAAAAAATACACAAAAGAATTAAAATTATGGTTTAAAAAAATATATATATATATATATACCGTATTTGCCGGCGTATAAGACAATTTTTTGGCCCTGAAAAATATGCCTCCAAGTGGGGGGTCGTCTTATACGCCAGGTACACTTCAGATAGACTGCCCATAGTGCTTGCCCCGTGCCATAGTGGCCTCCCGATGCCCGCCCACTTCATTCCACATACCGTTCAGGCATCAGCAGAGCTGCTGGGTGTATGCTCGGCTGTTATGCGATTTTGCTGTTATGCCATTTTACCACACTCGCAAAATCGCACACAGCCAACCATACACCCAGTATGGTATCGCGATTCGTGATTTTGCGCTATCATACTGGGTGTATGGTCGGCTGTGTGCGATTTTGCGAGTGTGGTAAAATCGCATAACAGCAAAATCGCATAACAGCCGAGCATACACCCAGC